GAAATCTCGGACTGAGAGCAGGAGGAAGGACCGCCTGCCCTCCCTGTCCTGAGCCTGCGTGCCCTGGTACGCTCGCGCTGGTGACCGCCAAGCGCATCACCTGGATGCAGACGGAGCATCACCAGCTCGCCAGCCACAACCAGGGGAACGCCCTCCGCAGTCCCTGCGACAAGGAGGAATCAACAGACACAGGCGCTTCACTAGCAAACGGGCTGAGTCCCCGAAGATCACCTGAGAGCTGCTGTGACTCTTGAAGGGCCGGTTTGGGGACGGTGTTCTCTCTCTCCAGTCACCGCTGGATCCTCAGGCCTGCCCACCCGTGGCCGGTTCCGCTTCCAGTTCCTTTTGTGGAGGGCTCCAATCATCTGAAAGAGCTGAGGCGTTCTCAGAAAGGCCTCCTCCCCGGCACTCCCCGCTGGACCTGGGTCCTGCAGACCCCACCTGTCCCAGTGTCTGCGGCACCCCTCCTGGCTCGGTGTGCGGTGGTCCTGACCCCCCCCCCAGGGTCGCAGCCGGGATGCAGAGCCACACACGAATGTCTGAGGTCGGTAGGAGAGCTCTCCCAACTTGCAGCAACTGCCTTGCCTATGTGTCCACAGATGTACTTTGCACTTGACTTGATTTATGATTTCCTTTGTTTTGTAAAACTATGAAACCGCTTCCATGTTGGAACGTGGAATTTGAGCTAACTTAAATAGATGTTTCTCGACCATGATCACTTACATTTGATTCTAGATTACACTTTTATTCGCTTTAAGGTAAAAGCTGTTTTTTTTTGGCACTGACGGTTGCCCAGCTTGGCCTTGAAATTGGGATCCTTCTGCCCTAATGCTTAGAGTACTGGGATTACTGTCACCATCACTGGCCAGTTAATAAATTTTTTAAGAAAACCTTTAGTCCCATCATTCAGGAGGTGAGGCAGGGGGATCTCTGTGAGTTCAAGGCCAGTCTGCTTTACATAGTGAGTTCCAGACCAGCAGGACTGGAAGGAGGAGGAGGAGGAGGAGGAGGAGAGAGCTGCGGGTAGCCGGGGGTCCTTATATCCCGCACACACCTGGCACACCCGGCTACAGAGGCAGTGACGATAGGTGATGTCAGCAATTGCTAGGACCCTGAAGGCAGGCCAGCTGAATCGCGTGCACACTTAGACTCTGGGCCAATAACATTTCAATGTTTCCACACTACCACAGCTCTAATTAGTCCGTATGATACACAGAGTGAGCCAGCACAGACACGCTGTAACTAAAGCCTGTCTTCTGTGTGGTTTTCTTTAGTTTTTACTTCTTTTTCTCTTCTGGAATCCCAACCAAGAATAGCACATGGCGAGCTGTTGTCCTGTCTCCCTGCTCTCTTCTGGACGTGACAGCTTCTCAGACTTGCCTTGGTTCTAATGACCTTAACAGTTTTCCAGGAGTGCCAGACAGGAATTTTGTAGAATGTTAGGCAAGTTTTTCTAAGTGATTAGCCTGGGGTTTCCTGGGAAAGACCATAGAAGCAGCATGACCTCAAGGCACAGCTTGTCAGGAATCTGTCTGTTCTAGCAACAGGACACTTACTGGTGCCAGTGACCTTGGCTGTCTGGAAAGGTGTGTTTGCGTGTGGCTATACTGCGAAATCCTTTGTGCTTACTCCTTAGACTTACGTCCCACTTAGACGTCACTTTTAGAAGGGGAGGTCTGTGGCACTCTAACAGAAAAGGGCAGGGGGGACTGTGCGGAATCCTCTGCCATGAGAGGCTCCCCCATGCTCTCTTGTGCATTCCCTCCGTTTTCAGGTGTGTTTGTGTATGTACACTGTAAGCCAGCTCAGCCTCCTCCACTGGTACCCTCAGCTGTAACCACGTACCTCGGACGGCCTTTCACTGAGGGTTTTCTTCCTTTCTGCCCTGATCGCGGAACTTGTTTGTTTCTGTTCCTTGTATCGGAATGGAGGGGTTTAGAGTGTTAGTCAGCCGCTTAGCCCAGAGCCTCACCAAGCTGCCTCTGCTCTCTCAGGACCTGCCAGCCAGGGAGGGAACAACAGTTGCGGGGGCTTAAAAATACACTGGGGTCTTCTCCACCTTCTTGGTTCCCGCACCTGGGCCTTGGGGGCATAACGTTGTGTTTGGGCTGATGAATCCCAGGACTCCCTCAGGAGCATTAGCTACTGAGTCACTGGCCTGGGCCCAGGGCCTGTGGGAGAGGGTTAAGGATTGGGCCCCAGTGAAGGACAGACGAAGCAGAGGTCTGTGCCACCCTGCTGGCCACGAGCCTTCACTGCGCTTAGTACCCAGCCGATAACCTAAGAGTGAAGCAACGCCAAACAGCCGTCTGCCCATCTACCACATCCTTCTCAGATAGTAGGGTGCTTTAAGGACCTGTGCAGTGCCGGGCCCCTCCCGGGTTCTGTCCTCCAGAAACGTGGGCCCACACCTTGATAGAGTATGGTAGCCACCCAGAGAGCACCTGACCCCACATATCTTACCCTCCCACACCAGAGCACCTGGCTTATCCACAGCTGACTTGACCCAGGTCATCAGGTGAGGCCCAAAGCAACAGGCCGGGTCAGGGTTCACCTGAGGGTTGACAGATAGAAAGCCCTCACAGGCACAGCCATGATCTTCTGGAACGTCCAGCATTGCTCCCTGCTTCCATCTGTTCTCCTGCACCTCATTTTGCCTGGTCCTTGATCAAAGTCACGTGGAGAGAAAGGAAAGGAACAGTTCCTGTCAGCAGAGGGCCTTAGTTTGTGGGGAGAATACAGTAGGAACCCTAGGGAAAGCAACACCGGTTGGTACAGGGCCCTGTCCAGTGGACATCTCCACCGGCTTTTCTGCCCGACCCCCACCCCAACACTGCTCCTGTTTATGAGGAAGGGGACTAGGACAGGTTGGTTGGAATCTCAGTTGTGACTGCTAAAGGACAAGACTGACTTCACACCTGTCAAGACTGAGACGTGATTTGATTTAGAAAAGAGAGAGAGAGAGCTCTGCCTCTAGGGAAGGGAGCGCTGTCCCTGAGGAGGGCCTCCAGTGACCACTTAGAGGTGAGGTTAGAGAAGGGCCCTGGGGAGACAGGCCTTGGGGAGGAGAGCGTGGCAAGGGGCGAGACACGTGGCGAGGCGGGGGGACCGGGAAGCACACCTCGCCTCTAGGGCCCCTCCCCGGAGAGGTTTGAGGAGGTCAAACGAGGTTCTGTCTGGGCAATTGCGTTTTTCTAGTTTTGATTGGGCAGGATGTGCATGTGATCATCTTGGAACCAATCGTAGCGGCCAGTAGTGAAGCGCGGTGATTGGCTCAGACCTCTTCTGCGAATCCCACAAAGCCAGCCGAGCCGCCCGCTGCACTTGCCAGTGGCAGGTTTGGACTGGGCTTGGTCGTGGGCACCTCTCCTCCGCACCAGAAGGGGTCCTGCATGTCTCCCCGCCGCCCCTCCTCCCCGGCCCTCTTTCAAAACTGATCTGAAGTCGACTGAGAGCAGCCAGTGTCCAAAATGTGTGGACAGGTGGCCCAGACCCAGGGGTCCTTAGCCTGCTGGGTTCGTGGTGGAAAACAGGATCTGTCTAGCTGCGGATTAGCAGGGGTAGACAAAATGGTCCTTAATTGCTGGCCTTTTTAGTTGTTCGAGATTGCTTCGATGGGTAGGTGGCGTTTGATTGAAAACAGCTCTCCCTCTCTGTGCAAGGCCTAGAGGGTGGTGCATGGGTCATAGCAGTATCTACTCGGTGACAGGGGCTGGCAGCCTGCAGACACCAGCGAGAAGCTGTAACCGGAGACTGGAGGTTAAAGCTGCCAAGTGTTGAGTCTGTCAACATCCAACCTTCAGCATCAAGAGTAGCAGTTTCAGGTCCCACCGCTAGGTACCAATTTTCCTCCAAGCAGAAGTCACCAATTACAATATATATTTAATACTCCTCCCATCACATATGCACACACACATAACTGCGAGAAGGGACCTCAGGTATTCGAGGCCCTTAGATGATACTACAGCATCATCAACAAACAATAATCAGTTGGGTGGCCAACTGACCGAACATTCAGGTCATTGTTTATGTCCAAAAGGCAGGGCACGGGCTGACAGGTCCTCATGCTAGCGTCCCCGCTGGGTGACAGCACGTAGCAAAGCTCCAGAGAGGCCAGACCAGAGATTCGGGTCTGGGCTACACCTCCAGGAAAAAGAAGTAGCTGCCACCCCAACGTGGAATGGCATCCGGGTAATTCAGCGGTTCCCGTGGTCCACAGAGACAGTGCAAGGACTGGGTGGGTCTGTGCCCACAAAGATAGCGCGCGGGGCCTGGGAGACCCTTCTCCTGTCCCTGGGGAGAGCAGGGTCCCTCCAAATTATCCCGCTCTCCCACTTCTCTCTTCACCTCCGCCCAGCTCTGCATCCCCAGCAAGAGTGAGGCATATGTAGACTCTGCTCACGCTGGCAGGTTTGGCTGGACAAGTCCCTGTGTGGGGAGGCTCACGGGACTTTCCGTAATTGCTCTGTCCTAGAAGAGAGGTGTCCCCAAAGAGGGATGAGCAAGGGCTCTTTCAGGACAGATGCGGCCACAGCACCTCGGGTTGAGCTGAGCATGGGACAGAGTGGGGCTGCAGATCCCCAGTATGAGGCAGAGGGGCTGACTGTTCTCTGGGCTAGGACAGAGAGCTGACAAGTCCTGTGAGCACCTCCTCGCTAGTCAGCAGGATTGGCAGCCATCCCGGGCGTGCTGTGCCGGAGGGAAGAGGGACAGCCCCTTGAGCTGGGCCGGGGCACAGGGCTGTGGGATTCCTGGTGTGCCCAGACCCAGGAAGCAGTATAGTCTGGATTCACTCTAACTGTGACGAAGAAAGGTTGTGTATCCTGGGGGCTCACGCTGGGCATTGGGGTCGGCTCACGCTGGGCATTGGGGTCCTGCAGTGAGAATAAGTCGGGGCAGTCAACCTGAGTAAGGACATAGAGGACACTCGGTGTTTGTACCCAGGGTGAGGGAGGGCAGCCCCCAGGGAGAATGGTACTCCTAGAAGAACAAGCCAGACGGTGTGAAATCACTGTTTATTGGCTGTGATTCCCTTAGAACATATGAGGCCTCTGACATGCAGGAGGTGCAGGCACAAGGACAGACAGACAGGTAACACGCGGGCTATTCTAAGCTCAGTGGCCCGGTGTCCCATACGCTAGGAACAGGATGCAGGGTTCACTTACGAAAAGGCCATCTGCTGAGAGCCAGATCTTCAGGTTGCGAAAACCAGCCTGAGATGCGCAGAGTGGCCCAGGTGAGCAAGAAAGGTGCCGTGGGCCGAGCATGCTTGTCTCTTTGGGCAGAGGGCGGTCTGGTTGGTATTGCAGTCTAACTGTTATGGCTTCTCTAAAGAGCTATGTAAGGTCATGAAGGTCAGTGTTAAACCACACCTGCCCCAAACTCATGGACACATGAAGTTCTAATGTGGACAGGAAGCGTCGGGAAGACCAGGCTGGCCTTTCTGTCAAGATAAAACTTACCAAAATACAGACCTCATTTACCTGAGATTCAACAGATTGTGATGTAAATTAAACAAATATGAAGAACAATGGCTGCTGGCTGGGCAAAGGGGAGTAGTTGGGTCCTACTGCCCCTGGTCACGCACAGAACAGAACACCACAGCCCACGCCCAGGAGCTTGCATTTGCCGGCCACCGTCAGCCCTTCAGAGGAGGAATAGCGGAAAGGATGGGACTCCTGATCCTGTGGCCCGTAGCCTGCTCTGCACATGAAACACCAGAAAACCTTAGGGAGTCAGGCATTTTGAAGGTAGGGGTCCAGTGGTAAAGCCAGGAGCTCCCTAGGGGTCTGCCTGCCCTCCAAGAAGACAGGAGGCACCGGGAGAGGTGGGAGCCCGGGAGGCGCACTACAAAGGGTGTCAAGGGACTCCACGTGTGTCTGAGACCACCCACTCCCTGTCTATTGCTGTGTTTCCTCTGGCTGTGGCGTTCTTAAGAAGCCAAACCTTGCAGAGCAACAGAGAAAGAGACAGCTGGACAAAATATGCATGGGTCGCCGTTGAAGACAGACAGGAAGACGGAGCAAACGGTCCAGCAGATCTAACAAGTACAGAAACTGGGGCGATGAGCTCAGAGAAGGGCTGGGGCCACCAAGCACCCACTGCTCATTCCCCAAGTCCCACCCGGCTATGGCTGTGCTCCTGAGTTTAAGCCCTGACCGGTGGCCACCCACCCAGGGGTGGTCAGGGCTGGCCCTCGGGCCCTGACCTTGGGCAGGCTCTGTGGGAATGGTGAACTCGAGAGTAGTAAGGAAGGGTCCAGCCACTCAAAAAGGCAAGGATGCACAGCACAGAGGCCTGAGGGTCACACCCTTGCCTGGTGGGGTCAGTGATGGCAGTGCGGGGAGGGGTGGCCAGAGGCTCCCGAGGCGTGAGGGGGACATGGACAGGACAGATCTAGGACTATGGCTTATTTTTGCAGGGGGGGGCTGCATCTGCTCCCAACATCCCTTGTGGGGGGAGACTCCGTGGGGGTCTGTACAGTGGGCAGGGCTCCTGCTGCTGACGTGGTACCATTACTTCTTGAACATGTCCTGCAGCGGCCCAGGCAGGTACTTGATGACAGTGTCCAGGATGCTTTCATCTTCCTCCTCTGGCTCATCCCCACAGCCTGGTGGAATAGCCTTCTTGGGTCGAGTCAGGCTGCCTTCTGAGTTGGCCTCCATGGCTGCCTGGGCCTCAGCCTCACGCTCCTCCTTCTTCTTGATGCCATACTGTAAAGGAAAGGGTTGTCAAGGCTTGCATGCGCCCCTCCTCGGCCCCCAGCCTGAAAGGCGCTGAAAGGACTGGAGAGGTCAGGTTCTTTCTGCACTGGAGAAACCAACCAGGGGCCAGGAAAGGTGAGGGAGACTCCAGCCCCACCCTGTTCACTAGCGGTCCAGATGTGACCTTGTCCGGAGTTTGGAAGACCACAGAGAAAACAGAACAATTAAGAGGTGCCTGAAGGACACATGGGGTGTGAACGAGAAAAACGTGGTGTGTGTGGAGAGATGGCTCAGCAGTTATGAACACTTGTCGCTCTTTCAGACTAAGCCAGGTTTGATTCCCAGCACCAGTGTCAGGCACACATAATTAGAAATAAATAACAGAATTCGGGGGCTGCTATAAGGGAAGAACAGGCCTAGCGAGGGGTGGAGAAAAATCACAAAACAGTTTATAATGGCATCTAATGTATTATATGATGATTTTTTAAAAGCAAAAAAAGAGGTGCATAAGACCACAGAGGCAAGAAGAGGCTGCTCCCTGGGACTCTGTGGTGGAGGCCATCCTCGGACACCCCACACAAACATCACTAATCCTGGCTCCTTTTGCAGCCACCTTTACAGCAGACTACCCCTCCTGGAACCCCGAGGGCACAAAATCCTACAAAATCACTGCTGCGTTCCCCTACTGACGAGGGAACACAGCGGCTTCTGGCATCTGTTTTTCCATCAGTCCTTCCTCAAAGAAATGGTGTACTCCATTTCCAGATGGGTCTGCCTGGGTGCTTGTCCTCTACCACAAAAAAACTTTCCTCTCTCCTAGTGGATGCCAGTGTGGAGGAGGCAATAGCCAAATTCAGTCAAGACCTGAGGAGAACAACTATCCCTAAGGAGAACGAAAGCAGGGCTCAGCCGTCCCTCCACACCCCTGAGACAACTGAGAATATAGGCCTCAGCCAGCATGGCAGGGGACAGTCACTTCCCCAGTACTTGCCAGTACAGCACAGAGAATTGACAGGTCAGCCGGGCTGAACGGCAAGCGCATGAGCCCTCCCCACAGCTTCCACTTGTCTCTGGCCCCACTGCAGTCACCTGCCGGGAAGGCCTCACCCACACAGGCAGAACCCTGTGGTCCCGAGGGGAAACATGTGGCTTAATGTCCTGTGGGGTAGTGCGTGGGCCAGAAGCTAGATCTCCAGAAACTAGGTCAGGCCAGAGAAAGCCTTCTTCCAGCCAGGGGAAGAGCAGCAGGCACAGGCCAGGTGGGCGGTCAGAGAGGCTGAGCTGCACAAGGCTACACTTGGGAACAAGTGTTGCTCAGACTGTAACTGTTGCCTTGGTGACTTTCCTGAAGACAAGTCTGTCCACGGAGGATCAGGGTCACTGTGAGGCTACAGGCCCATTGAGCTCTTAGGGAAAGTCACGGTTTTTCTGCCAGAGGATGCTCTTCAGGCTACATTCCAGAGCCAGACTCAAGTGGTGCGGCCTGTTCTGATTTTCTGGACTCCAGCGACAAACGCCAGCCTGACCCAGGCCAGGTGTTCATTCTGTCAAGTGTGCAGGAGCACCAGCCCAAGGACAGGACCGAAGGAGGTATAGGTCAGGGGTGCTGAAAGGCACACCTGCCAGGGCCAGGTGAAGACCAGGGGTCGGCTAAGGGGTCTGAGGTACAGGAGAAGACAGGAGACCTAAGAACGTGGTTAAGAAAAGGCCTGCAGTGGCTCTCAGTGGTAAGGGCCAACAGCTTTTGCGACACGCGGCTGCCACCTTTCATCATCACACAGGCTGAGCGAGGCTGTGTGGGGCTCCACACCTGGGCTGTGTCTCCTCACCAGAGGGAGGGGTCAGCTACTTCGGGTGACTGCAAGCAGGCACCAATCAGGTAGTGCGTGTGCGAACCTGAAGAGATATGTGCAAAGCTGGCTGCGTGCACAAATGGGGTGCAAATATAAGTTGGACAGCGGGTATACGAATTAAACACCTGCTCAATGGCTTCCCAATGGACCTGGGTGCTCCAGGAATGACCCACCCCATGAATGACCATGCCAGCTTTTAGATTGGGGCTCACATCCTGTGGATATGAAAACTGGCCCCATTCTTTGTCTCTTCCCTCCCCCATATCACTGAGAACCCTTGGAACCCCATTCAACCTCTCGCTCTCTGACCAGGGCTCAGGACACTAGGGTACACAGAGCCTAGGGGAGGCTGGGGACCCACTTCTGGTGAGGAGCAGGGCTTGCCCAGTGAGGGCTGAAAAGTCACACCAGACAGTCAGGATTTACACCTGTGAGGAGCTGGGAAGGTGGAGCATCAGCGAGCGGCAAAGGCTCAGGAGTCAGGACTGAGGTGGCCAAGCAGCGATATAGAAAAAGTGGGTGTCGGGAAGCATGGCAGCTCCTGTATCACGCTGTCCAGTCCAGGCTAAGGTGGACTGCGGCCCAGCCATCTACATGTGCCTGAGGTTTGACCCCTAGAACTTTCCCCTCTTGGGGCCACCCTTTCCATCTGCACCGGGGGCTGCTTTTCGGGGCTCACTTGGACAGTCTTCATTTCTCTTCCATAATCAGCCTGGCAAAGGCTGTCGAACTTTCTGAAGCACCAGCTCCCAACCTGCCTATTGCTGCAGCCCTTTATTCCTCACGTTGTGGTGACCATAAAGTCATTTCACTGCTACTTCGTAGCTGTGATTTTGCTGCTGTCATGAATTGTAATGTAAATGCGCTTTCCAGTGGTCTTGGGTGACCCCTGTAAAAGAGTCATTTGATCCCCAAAGGGCTTGCAGCCCACAGGTTGAGAACCACTGTTCTGAAGAACAGATTTCTTCACAATTTCCAGGAAACTGTGAAAACAGAGCAGTGGAGAAGACACCCTGTATGGTCTTCCTTAAGTTCCAATTTTTAAAACACTGAGATGTCAAAGCGTTTGTGGGTGGGGTGGTATCTGGCAGGGGCTTCCTTGGGAGACTGATACAAAAACAGGGCTCCCTGGGTTCCAAACCCAGCCCCATCCCTGAACTTTCCAGAGCTGCTGCACACCTAGGCAGCTAGCGTAGCACCGTACCGAGCCTTGGTCTGTGCTCCTTGGGTAGCTCCTCTTAATTCTACTCAGGGAAGGAGTTCGGTGACTCCCAGCTCTCTCTTGCTTCTCTGTCCCTCCCTCTAAACCATCTCTCCAGAGTTGCTGTCTGTCTGTCTCTAACTCTCCACCTCTCTGTTTCACATGCTCATCCTTACCCTTCCTGATACATTACATGTATGACCCACATGGTCAATAGCACTTCTTGCTATTAGCGACTCACTGGCTGTGGATGGTAGGGGCAAAGCGAAACGAGCAGGCACCTTCTGTGGGACCTAGGAAACTGCTCAGAGACAGTGCTCCAAGGCAGGGGTCAAGTGCCCAGACCCTATTTACAGCAGGCTGCAACCAAGTGGGAAGTGAGAGTCTGCTAGGGCTAGCCTTGGGGGCAGAACGTGGGTGGAGAGGGGAAGCCAGCCACATATTTGGCCCTTTGCAAGATCAGGGACCCACAGTGTCCAGCTACCTGCTGGCTATCCCTCTATCTGCCGTAGGAGATATAGCTTCCTTCCTCAGGAGTCCCAAAGATCTGCCCCAGCAGAGAACCTGTTGTGAATGCACAAGCAGGAAAGGGGCCTAGAACCTGGGATGTCTCCCCAACCTCACATCTCATCAAGCCCAAGACTGGAGGATTATGTGACCTCCTGCCTGCTTCCCACCTCGCCACCCAAGCCTGCTGCCCCACCCCCACCGAGCCCAGAAGGACCTACATGACTTCTTTCTCCCCGTGGCTTGGAGCCTCTCTTCTGCTGGGCAATAACTACCCTCACTGTGCACAAGGCCGCACCACTTGAATCTGGCTCTGAAATGCAGCCTGAAGAGCATCCTCTGGCAGAAAAACCGTGACTTTCCCTAAGAGCTCAATGGGCCTGTAGCCTCACAGGCTGTCACCCATCTACCCTGTGTGAGTCCAGGAAGCAAAGGTAAAGGGGAACCTCTGGCCCTGATGTCCCTAAACAACAAAGACTCCCTGCTTAACCTGTTGGTACCATGGTCTTGTGGAATGTATACAATTTGCCCTTGTTCATTCACATGCTGGTTTCTCTGCCCACTCTCTGGTTTCAATCTGGACATTGTGTTGTGATCTTTATTCTCAGCATCGCCTGTCTCAAGTTTGTGTAAACATGCCACCATTTGTTCTCTACATTTTCAGTTAAACAATCAGGCAATGCTGTGCAATGGAGAGAATAGGGTGGGACATCCTGGTCTGGAGGGGAGGAGAAGGAAGCTAGTGAGGGAGAGGGAGAGCAGAGATTGGCAGGAGGGACTTGGACCCACGAGGAGAGATGAACTGGACCTAAGATATGACTTAATGCATATAATGTGGGAAATCTGAATGGGAGGAAGCTATGTAGGCTTGGAGGTTTAGGATGGAGTAACTATTGCCCAGCATTGTGCTCTAGGTTAATTAAGTAAATCCTAGTCTCTGCGTGGTAATTTGGGTATACCGCTGGTTTAGGAATAACCACCGTTTAACTAAAAGATACATCAGTAATAAATATTAATAATCCACAACATTAAGCAATTCCCATTCCTCTCTCATAGCCTTCTTTCTGGGCAGGGGCCAAAACTCCAGGAGACACACCAGTCCTGGCATGAGGAGTAGGCAAGGCCAGCCTTCACAATGACCCCAATCCAGATGTGAACACCTGTGGTCCCCCAACAGTCCAGCTCCCAAGGTTTTGGTCCCCGGATAGGGAGTAAAACAGGAACTATTGGCCATCGCCAAGCGAGGGATCACCGCCGCAGCTCTCAACCCTGCACCTGTGCGTTGCCCACCTTGTCTCGTATGCCCTGCCGCATGACCTCGCGTTCCGCCTCCATCTTGGCGTACTTCGCTTTGCGCTCCTCCTCTGCCTGCCGCAGCGCCTCCTGCCGCTCCTCCTCCTTCTTGGCGGCATCAGGGTCCTTCTCCTCATCGCCCCCAAGCATTTTCCCCATGTCCTTAGTGGCCCCTGGGGACAACAGCAGAGGTCAGGCAGCAGCACTCGGCATTCCAGTCCCTTCTGTGGGCCGTGGGTCCGGTGTGACCCATCCCTAGAGAGAAGCAGTGGATGTGTTGGTTTCTGCGTGTGTGTGTGTGTGTGTGTGTGTGTGTGTGTGTGTGTGTGGTTGTGTTGTAGTTGCATGCTCATACATGTATGTGTGGATGGCCATGTCACTGCATATGTGTGCTCGTGTGCACGGATGCGTCTGCTCATCTATGTCTCCCGAGGGGCAGGTGTGTGTCCTCCCTGAGGCCTGTGTCCAGAAGAGGGTTGGAAAGAAGGTGGTGGAAGGAAAATCCAGATGTGCAGATACACAGATGACAAGCAGGCAGGGACAGATGTCCGGTGGCAATATTGGCCGTTAAAGTAGATGACAGGCGTGCACCCATGACCCAGACTGCAGGCACTGCCTATCTTCCAAGACCCTAATTGCCTCCTGTGCTAGGTGCCACTTTTCTCATGAGTTTCTGAGTCACAGTCCCTACAGAAACCACCCCAAACACCCTGGCAGCTTAGCCCATAAGACAGAGGCTGTAATTACACACTGAGGCTTGGCCCAATTGCACCCAGACACCAGTGACACCCGAGATACAGACCTGGCAAGCCTCACAAGATCTCAGTGTGGGGTGCTGGTTCACTGGCTTTTGTTCTCTGGGGTGCCTGCCAACCCTATGCACCATGACAAGCCAGAACAAGGCCAATGTCCTCTCTCTGCACAATGCCCTCTGACCAGATCTGGGATTAGAAGGACAGGGTCTCTTAAAAAACGTGGAACAATGATATAGGGCACCAACTTCTGAGCCCTGCTCTTCAGGTGCTTGTAGAGCCATGGGTTCCCCTGAAAGACCAGAGATATTTTGGCTTCCTGGAACTTTACCACAGGCAATAGGGTGTGAAGAAACCAAAGACATTTTTTTTTGCTGCTGTCAGGATGGAGACAGAGAGGCATCTTGAAATAGGCATTTACTGACAGAACACATCTTGAATCTAACTGAAATCTATGAGCTTCACGGTCAGTTTTTAGCTAGACACTTACAAAGGAGATTCTGCATCAATGGCTGAAGGAAAGCTGGGTCACAAAGTAATCTTCCAACAGTTTTCTGGGAAACTCACTGGAATCTCTCTGACTCCAGCACAACTGTCTCTGGCAGTTTGCAAGGTTTGTCCTTGCAACTATTTGACTGCTATCATGTAAATTTTATTCTCTACTAGAACAAGCTAATTCACACTCAAGTGGGAGAGACCCATAATTATTTCTCCCTCTGGGAAGGTACTGGCATTCTAAAACAGAAAGAATTGAATCTATGTCTATGCCTTGCCCTAAAGAGTGGTTCTCAACCTGTGGGCTGAGGCCCCTTTTTTGCAGATTGAATGACCCTTTCACAGGGATTGCCTAAGATCCATTGGAAACCATAGATATTTACATTACAATTCATAACAATAGCAAAATTACAGTTATGAAGGAGCAATGGAGATAATTTTATAGTTTGGGGGTCACCATAACACGAGGAACTGTACTAAAGAGTTGAAGCATTAGGAACACTGAGAATCACTGATCTAGGGACAGGTGAGCAGTGGCTGGGGTGTGACTGTGGGCTCCGTGAGGCTTGTGGCTGTCTGTCTAGGGCTGTCCACCACCCCACCCGTCACATACGTTGCAAAGGAAATTCTATTTACTGAGTGCCAACTATGTGCTACTATGGAGCTGTGTGCCTGTTGGGCCTTCTTACATGTCAGGGGTTCCTGCTTGGGCTCTGGTTGGCAACAGCCTTGGACCTGTGGACATCTGTTGACTACGCTCTGTATATGATTACTTTGCTAAATTCTATCCGTACCAGAATTCAAATGAATGTACTATCTGAAGGACTAAAACTAGAAGTGATAGAGGCCATGCTTCTTCGCCCTGATTAGCCAGGAGAGTAGCAGGTAGTTCCAGGGTGTTGTAGATGTTTGAAATGCCATCATGCTCACTGCTGGGGAAGGTGCAGTTAGTCCTTGGGGAAGGGATTAATGGCAGAAGCTTGGGAAAGCAGCCAGGCATTATTATGAATACCCTTCTGCCTAGCCACCTCACTCTAGCCATCTGTCGGAAATGTGCCTTGGTTGGGACATAGGCTCACAGATGTCCACTACCCTAGCATAAGGCTGGAGACAAGGGATGTCTTGAGCATGTGGTCACATGACCAGTGAACATCTTGGGGCTACAGTGCACTTGGGGATGCCACACCCAGGAGAGGCCCAGAAGAGGTGTCCCGGAAGAGGTTGAGGGGCTGCACTATGCACTACAATAGTCAGCTACATCACAGACACCATTTTTGGAAAACAGGGAGAAAACCTGATGGATAAGGATACCCTTGATTTCACAGTTTCTTGAAAAACTATGAGAGGCTGCATGTCAGCTTCCTTTCAATCCTCAACCCTGGGAAAGCGGTGTAATGTTCACTAAGATCCACCAAGCATCAGTCTCCTTTACACTGAGGTAACGCTCCACATACCCATGAAGGCAGGTATTACAAAAACAGAAAATAGGATGTATTGATAAAGACGTGGGGAAAGTGGAGCCTGTTCTGGGACCGTGGAAACGTGTGGTGGTTCAGCCTGTAGAGGACAGTTTCGTGGGTCCCAAGCACTGGGACTGGAGACACAGCTTAAAGTTAGCAGCACTGGCTGCTCTTGCAGACGACCTGGGTTCCCGGCACACACATGGCAGCTCACAACTGTCTGTAGCTCCAGTTCAATGGGATCCAGTGTTCTCTTTTAGTCTCTAAGGGCACTGAACACACATGGTACACATATGAAGTTGCAGACACTTACAAGTATATAATAAAAAGGCCAAGTACAGAATTACCACATGACCAAGTAATTCCACTTCTGAGTGCATTCACGGAAGTGTTGGGAGCAGGAACTCAAGCGGATATCTGTCCATCCTTAGTCTAAGCATCATTCACAATATCTGGGAGGCAAAGCTACAAGCATCATCCCACAGGTGAATGGAGAAAGGAAAAAATCGTGTCTGTCCACACCTTACATATTGTTCATCCTTAAAAATGAAGAAAGTTTTGACACAAGACAGGATGGAGAAGCCCTGGAGACACTATTCTGAGTTAAATGAGCCAGGCACAAGGGACAGCTGCTGTGAAAGCCTTAGAGCACTTAGATCCATGGAGCAGAAAATAGAAAGTAGTTTGGGGGCTGGGAGACAGAAAGAGCTAAATGTTTCCGTGGGACAGTTTCAGTTTGGAAAGATGAGAGCATTCCAGAAGCAGAGGCGGAGGTGAACAATAGTGTCTTATGCTCAGTCTACAGCTTTGCGTATCTACAACGGAGCAGAACTCATTTATATTACCACAATAAAAAGAGAAACAATTTTATAGTTACAGTTCCATCTCCCTGATGGGTTTCCCCAAGCAGACATGAGGTTGTGACCAACTTGGTTAAACACGACTGGCAATAACATCAGCCGTGTAATGAGGGCTGTGCAAAGTGGCCTCTCTAGCAGCAGTAAAGCAGGCAAGCAAGCTAAGACAGGACGGAAACTGAAATGACCACACAGGGGCTGGAGAAGTAGATCAATGGAGGAGGCTTCTTTCTGTGCAAGAATGAAGATCTGAATTTAGATCCTAGCCACCTTGTAATAAAAAGCATGTGAGATGTGGAGAGAGGATTGTTAGGGCTTCCTGGAAGCCGTCCTGTCTCCAGCTACGGTGAGAGTTGCTGTTTCAATAATACAGCTTGACATTCAGCATCCTCCTTTGGCCTCTGCACACATACTCCTCACATGTACACATGCATGTACACCCACACACTCACACACATGCTAATAGCAACTAAATAATACATTGTATTTTTCATGGAAAATCTTGAATAAAATCCATACCTCAAAATATACTTATTATGAAAAGCTGAGAATGATGTCTAGGAATTCACAGATGGGATCTTTCAAACACTCAAGAAACAGATAATTCCCATGATATTTAGAATCTTCTTAGAAAAAAAGAAGTAAATCCTCTGTTTTTTTTTTTTTAATAGCAATGCCAGAAGCCATGTGGAAGAAAAAGGAGGAGTGAAAAGAGGGAGGGCAGAAGAAAGGAGGAGACAGACAGACAAAACAGAGAGAACACTAGAGCTCCCAACAGATTAGGAACCAGCAAATGGACCAGAGTGATAGTCGGCCCAAGGGAAACTGACATCTGCCATTCTCTAGGGAGTGCTGCAGGACAGCCCAAGCTGAGCTCTGCTCTTCGCAGAAGCAGGGATGTTACGGCATCAAAACGTCAGTCCTGCCTCAGAGGCCAGCCAGAGGCACAGTGGCCACTGCGTACCTGAGTCTAAAGGTGCTGTTCTGAGTATCCCGGAACCTTCCTGCTTCCTCCACCCACAAACACATCAGTGGGTTCCTGTATGCCTGAGGTGGCTACAGTTTTCATCACCTTGAGAAAGCACCTAGAACAGTAGGAGCTTGCACTATGCCTGACTATTGGCCTGCCTCCTTCATCTTGCTTTGTACACATGTGGATGAAAGGTAGAGTCTACACACAGCCACAACATGACCATGGCAATGATGATAATAATAATAATAATAACAACAACAAAGGTATGTGTGCCACACAGAACCCACTACTAAGACACTCTAGGAGCTTGTCAGACAGACATAAACCTATGACGCCAAAGACAGGTTTTTGGTAGCCACAGTGCCCACCCCAGTGCCCGGATGGCCTCAGCTTTCCTGTAGAAATTCTCTTGTGTGCTCCAGAATTTTAGATTAGTAGCTCCCCACATTCTACAACGGGGGTCTGCCCTAGCTACTACAGCCATGCTTCCATGTGGAGAGGCACTCTTCTATCCCGTGTGGGGTCTCGCTGTGGAGTAGCTTGTCCACCCCGGCCTGCTGAGACGCACTGAGAACTGCCCTGGGCTTTAGGGACAAGCCTGTGTCCTGGGTCACTTACTCGGGTACAGCCTGAGAG